ATTTTTGAAGAAGAAAGCTTATCTGTGTGCACGGATATGGGAAAGTTTCCAATACAGGCTGCTGTGAGGAGATTAAAAATAAGATGTAGGAAGAGGATCGGTGGATGGTTATTTGTGTAAAGCAAAGCAAACACACACCTATATACACACGATACAATCTCTTTTTATATAAGATATTCACTATGTTTCTTATGCTTCTTGTTCTCTCTCTTTCATTATGAATATATATTTCATCATATGTATCTCTCTCTATCGGTCTCTGTTTCCCTCTCTCTCTCTTTCTCTCTCTCCCGCTCTTTCTCTCTCTCTCTTCCTTCCCTCCCCCCCCCCTCTCTCTCTCACACACACACACACATCTACATCTTGAAGGAAATGTTTGCTAGGAATAAGTATTGCAAGGTAACTCCAGAGAACACATGGGCTCTTTTTTTTAATGGATTTTTTCATTTATTTTACATACCGACCAGTTTCCCCTCCTTTCTCTCTCTCTGTTCCTTCTCCCTGTCTCCCATCTACTCCCTCCCCATGCACTGCTCCTGTCTAGGTTCAGAAAGGGCCAGGCCTCCCATGGGTATCAACAAAGAATGGCACATCAAGTTGAGGCAGGACCAAACTCTTCCCCCTGCATCAAGGCTAGATGAGGCAACCCAGCGTGGGGAATAGGTTCCCCAATGCCAGCTCAAGCTCCAGGGATAGGTCTTGATCCCATTGCTAGGAGCCCCACAAACAGACCAAGCTACACAACTGTCACACACACACACACACACACACACACACACACACACACACACACACACAGATTTGGTCAAGCTAAGACTCCTAGCAATAGTGGAGAGGGTCCTGAACTGGCCATCACCTGTAATCAGATTAGTGACTAATTGTCAATAGAGCGCCTTCATCTGGTAACTGATGGAAGTCAATGCAGAGATCTACAACCAAACACATGGACTCTTAAAGCCAATAGAAAGTCTTTATTGGATGGTTCTCAGGCTACACAGGGAACTTGCCCAAACTGTATAGCCCCCGGGTCCCACTGTTCTTTACTTCTTACCTATGAAAACCACATTCTGGTTGACACATATCCATTAGCAAGAACAGTCAGTGAGAAGCCAAACCACAGAAGCTAAAAAAACAAGGTTAGCACATTTAGGAACTTCCCCCAGATCCTGGAACTATGGCCTAGGTCTCTGATGGATTAGATCATTGTTTTGGCATGCACTGGGGCCTACATTCTGGGTTCTGAGGTCAGCATGGTGCCTCTGATGTGGAATCAGCAGTACTAAGGTCTGGGGGACTATTAAGTTCCAGGGGCCTGTTACATGAGAAGCTTCTGGGGAGGGAACTGGGTAGCATGAACAGCTTCAGACATTGGACAATACTGCTACAAAACAACCGTGGCTTAGAACCTTAAAGCAAGCAGGCCCATCACTTGATGTTTCTAATGTCAGAAGTCCTAAAATGAGTTGGCACAGCAACACCCTACTGGGTCCTGAGGAGAACGTCCCCTCCTGGCTTTGCTCAGCTCCTAGAAACTACAATCCACATTCTTCTATGGAGGACCCCGACTTCCTTCTCTGGAGAATCTGCATTCTCCCACTGTGGGCCTGCATCCCTTCACCCTGTTCCATCCTTACTTCTGTCCCTGTGATCCTCTGCTCCCCGGAGGGACCTTGTGACTGCCTGGACTCTGCATCTCAGTGTGGAAGTCACTCACAGCAGGGCAAACCTGCTCTTCCTGTTGTGCGGCACTGTCACAGGCTCTAGGCTTGAGGATGTGAACCACTCTGGGGACAACTACTCTGCCTTGGAAAATCACTGCCACTGGGCACAGCTGTCATTTCAAAATGTTTTCCCATGTGTAGTATTGTGCACTCAAACTGTAAAGCTGTACTTATATTTGATAAGGCAATTCCTATAGTTGATTAGTCACAAAACACGTTCTTTACAGTTCTGGGAATCAAACCTGGGTCCTAGTGCATGCCCTGCTTCTGACCTACATCCCTAGCCCTCTAAGACTATTCATGTATATATGTGTCATGTTTCCCTTCTTCTCAGAAGCAGCTATATTGCTTTTTTTTAAATTGTGATCCTGAATTTCCAGGAGGGCTGCTGCAGCCCTAAGTGAATAGGGTAGGGTAAGGCACACTTCTGTAATGTTTAGTGTCTTGGGGGGGCTTCTTTCTGCTCTCTTAGGAGGTCAGTCAGTTGTCATGGGAGATGCTGGGTACAAGCTACACAGGGCCTCAGAGAGGTGTCCTGGGGGAAGCAGGCAGTACATATGCTCAATTCTTTCATTTCTTCAGCCTCCAAGCTGTGGGCCCTCCCCCAATACAGCTGGGTACTGGGAAGGGCATCGGGCAGTGAAGAGATATGCCCAGTATCTCTTGCCAGGAACACATTGTATATCTTCCAGGATGGCATCGTTTTCCGGCTGTGTATTTATGCCTGAGCTAGTGTTCCAAGAAATACCATGATCAACCAAAGCATGATTTCCCTGGGAACCACAGGGGCATAAGGCTGTCAGCCCAGCTGATATAGGGACCTCCCTGGCTCTTTTGTGAGCAGCCCACAGCCATGAGGCAAGAAGGCACCAATGATGCATAGGTCTCTAGTTCACTCTTTTCCCCTGGGGCTTAGCTGATTCATCCTAGTGTCTCCAATCAGGCCTGGAGCTGAGGCCCTCATTGGGAGAGAGGGTCCCCCAAGATGGTAAAGGGGTACTGTTAAGGCAATTGCCCTTGGTCTGGCACTAATCATGGGGACTTGCAGGGAATGTCTTTTCTCTTTCTTTTATCTGGCTGTGTATTTGAGATGCTTAAACACCCCAAATATATCAAATACCCACTCAAGCCGTAAGCCACTCAGGTCAGTGAATCTTAGACAAAGGAAAGCACAGAAGAGAGGTGCAGGGGCAGATGGGAAAGCAGATGCTCAAGGCACACAGTCTCCAAAGAACAGGCCTGCCCTGGTTGTTGAGGATGGAGCACTAACTGAGAGATGCCATTCTCTGTTGGCAAGGGATCCTTTGGACCGGTCACATATACATTTGTTTGCTTTTGCACAGAATCTCCCTGCATGTCCCAGGCTGGCCCTGAACTCCAGATCCTCTTGTTTCAGCCTCCCTAGTGCTTCCAAATAAGCATGTGCCAGCACACCCAGCTCACTTCCGTAATTCTTATTTATAGTACACAGAGTCTCCTCTGAGTTCCAGAAAAGACCTTTCTGGGATAGGATGAGTTCCCACTGTCCCACCCCCTACTTTTTAGGTAGTCAAACATCCTACTCGCAGACTTCAGGGAAATGTATTACCTGTGACACGCAGACCTCGGTCCATATAGAAGAAAGATGTGCAAGCAGGCACCATGGAGTAGGCCTGTAATCGCAGCACTCAGCAGGCAGGAAAATAATGAGTTCACGGGAACCTGGGTTGTATAAGCCAAACCCTGGCTCGCCCCCCTGTACACACAGCAATAGGAGGCTGCACATTTACAGAATCGATTTTCATGGGAAATTTTTCCGTCCACAGCCATGCAGCAACGATTTAACTAGAACCACAACCAAAGAGGCAGAGATCAGCAAAGGCAAGTCTCAAATTGTCTCAGAGCTCAGTGGACAAGGGGCATAAAATCCAGACGACTCACCCTCCCTCGAAGCCTTGGTGGAAACCAGACACCTTTGACTGTAGTGTAGATTTTCGGGGCACTGGAATTTTTCCTCTCTCATGACACAGTGTCCCATTCTGCTGTAAGAAGAAAGAGGTGAAAAGCTGAGTCCCAGAATTCAAAATCATTGTCGAGAGACCTGGGAAGGACTTTAAAAGGTGATCATAACTATTTCCTTCTTCTTGATAGCACACAAAGGGGGTTCCCCATCTAACACCCACACAAGACCTTGGCATAAAAGAGATGAGTTCGGTATTGTTCCAGTGCCTCTCTGGTATTTAAAAGCCCTTCTTGGGGAGAAGAATTTATTAAATATTGTAGTCAGTTCAATGTCTCCTGTTGAAACATGTGCTTTAATGGGCTTATTAAATTTAGATTATGATAAAAAGAAAGAGAATAAGAAAGGCAGTTCTCCCACTCAGAGGTCCTGGATGCCACAGGATGACTGGGTACTGCTAAAGGAAAAGCTCCCAGCCTTGACTTACCCCTGTGGCAGGAGAGAGAGTGACTCTTCAAGAGGACACAGAGGACTTTGCTGTGTAAACATGCTATGCTGGTCACAGCCCGCCTCTACTCCAGAAAGAGCAATGAGAGCCTTTCTTCTCTTTCCTTTCTTAGTCCATCCTTTTCCCGACTGGTATTATACATTGTTTAATAACATGAAATGCACTGCTCATAGGTAACATTTAATGATGGCTCCCGCTGGGCTAAGCATGGCGGCACACATTGTACCTGTATTAACACTTTGAATACTTACATCATCCTATGAAGTGGTATTATTATTGTCATTGTTATCATCGTCATTGTTTTCGACACTGACGTCCGTTGTTATCATTGCTGCCTAGGGATGAGAAAGGTGAGACACTGAGAAGCTACACAAAGTCCCCAGGGCCACACAGTGAAGGACACAGCAAGAGTTCTAACTCAGGAATCCGGATAGATTTTGTGTCTGTCTAACGGATGGATCACATAGAACATATTTACATGTTCTATCAAGCCAGATATTTTCCATAAAAAGTCAAAGTCTGTTCTTATTACCGGCCCAGTTCCTGAACCTCTCTCTCTCTCTCATGTCCTAAGTTAACTATTACAACCCTCTTGGGAAATAATTTCTCACACATATGAAAATAAATAGAATCACCATGTTGCTGAGCCCAGCACCATCATTCCCAATCTTTCCTGTAGCTACATTTTCATTCAAAAACAGCCCCTAGTGACCATCTAACACCCCGTCCAGCTTTATTTAGGGGTTCCCTTCTTGACAGACAGGTTGCTATTGATATTTCACTAAATTAAACAGCATTGCATCACATGGGCAGGTCTGTCCTCAGGGCAGAGGGCGAATGCAGCATGTCAGGGCCCTTTATCCTTTGACAGATAGCGCCAGCTTACACTCTTTGCAATGATACCTGGATGTGGGGATCTCTTCAGCCTTTTCGTCACTCTTGTCCTGTAAGGTGAGCTTTAATGACTTCTTGCTTCCAGTCCCCTTATTGATTGAGTTTGTTTGTTTGATTGATTGTTATAGGGTCTCAGTATATAGCCCAGGCTGGCCTCAGACTCACAGCACCCTGTCACAGCCTCCAGTGCTAGGATTACAGTCGCAGTCTGCTATCAGTGAATCCTCACCTTTAACGCCCAGACCTTCTGCTCTCCACCCATAGAATGCAGCAAAGACACAGAGTGCAGTGTGGACGACAGGGAGAATTTGCTTCTGAGCAGAGGAGAGCACACCGTCTAAGGTGAGATCAGGCAGTGGGGGAGAGGCTCATAGCTCTGACCTGATTTTGCGACAGAGGGGCAGCTTCTCCAGGGTTGTCTTCCTGTCTGGGTGCTTGACTCACAGCGGGGAGGGCCTTGTTCCCTACCAGAGAGCCTCTGGGTGAATAGTGCTCTATCAGGGTTCACAGTGGGTCTGCTAATGACTTCCAGGCAGTGCCCAAGGCCTGCCTCCACCCAAAGCCCAAGATAGGACTGGGTTACTTTTTGTCAAGGGCCAGCCCAATGACTCCCTGCTCCTGTCTGGCTCATCACCTCCACACCTCCTACACACTTGGCTTCCCATCACTTTAAAAACTAAACTTTTTTTTTTAAGTGACTGCTGATCACCCTGGATAAAAATTCAGAATTTTTATTTTTATTTGTCCTACTCTTCAGGTAGGCCCTTGACCACTTGGTCCATCTTTATTGCCTGTGTCCCCACACAACCAGGCCTATTGGAGGCTGAAGTTGGGGTTACCTTGACTCTTAGGCAAATGTGGTGAACACAGAATGTTAATGAATTTTGTACTTGTTTGACCTGGAAAAGCTGCTTGGGTTTCTAAGATTCCCCAACGCCCCCCTCAAAAGCTATAGAGGCAAAGCCCTGTGCCGAGAGAGGTTTCTCTTCAATCCCAATATCCAGCTCCTAATTCAACAAATAACGGGGGAGGAGTCAATGTGCTGGCACAGTAGCAAGTGCTAGGGCCACAGAGTTGTCACCACATGCATATTGTCCTGTCCCCACAGAACTGCAGGTCCCTGGCTCCCTGCTCCATTGGCTCACGTGTCTGCTTTGTCCTTTTTTCTATTTTCTGCTGCTCATCTCTTTCCCAAGAGCTTCTTCACCTGACTCGGGTGCTGGCCTTTGCAGAGATGCCAGCTCCTGCCTGTCAGGGTTCTCTACTGCTTCAAACCTCCATCCCTGCCACAAGCACTCTACAGGGTGTAGCTGAGTATTTCAGAAACATAGCCAATATCTGCATTTACGGCAATTGGCCCAGATGAGTTAAAATACTTCAGAATAGAGGGTCCTAGACTCTGCAAATACACATCCACTATTCTTCCCTAGAGATTTCATGGGCCTCCTCCATGTCTGCATTTCTTGAGGGCACAAGCCTGACTGATTTTGTTGGGGACTGTCTAATGGTAGAAGTTTCATCTTCTTCCATTGTGTAGGGTATATTTACTCACACACTGAGAAGCAGAAATCCCATGGGATAATTTAAAAATTCATCATGGATTTGTTTCTTCCCCCTCTCCTCTTGGCACAGAGCTTCTAAAATACTTAAGATTTCCTGAGTGACAGGAATATCTTTTTGTCCACCAAACCTGAGATAATGAGGGTTATCATGGTGGGCACCTGTAGATTCAGGATGGAGGCTGGTTGCCAGAGCAACCAACCATGTGAAAAGAGGGTTGAATATTTCTGCCTTGTTTCTGTTTTATGAGGAAGGTTGAGACTAAGTTGATCATCAGTATGATGTTATTCTCAGTAGGCAAGTTATGGAATCAGTATGGGCATCAATCAGTAGGTGAATGAAGGAAGTGTGTACATATATACACTGTGGGGTTTGATTTAACTGTAAAGAAGGAAATGATGTCCTTTGTAGGAGCATAGATGGAACTGAAGACAATTACGTTGAAGGCAATGGGCCAGACTTGAAAAGACAGTATCACTTATTTTCTCCTGTGTAAAATCTATACTTAAAAAGAAAACACACAAGTGAAAGGTCACCATTTCAGTGGAAGAGGAGCAAGGAGGTGGGCAGGAAAGAGCCGTGGCCGGATACGATCAAAGCACATGATACAATTGTACAAATGTGTTAATGAAGCCTGCCATACTTACTTAGAATTTTTTAAATCCCTAGTGGTCAATGATCTCATCAATCATCCTGGCATAATGAGCCATCCATAAAAACCCTAAACAAAGGGATTCGGGGCCTTTGGGGTTGGTGTCGAGAGATGTGAAGACCCAGACACTACACCCATATCTTGTGCTTTGCATCTTCTCTATTCTCCATTGGCTGCTTCAGAATTGTATCTTTTACAAAAAAAAAATGGACCATATCTTCTGTAATAAATTGGTGATAGTGAATGTAGTGGCTCCTAGAGAAAATTATCTGACCCAATGAAGGCTTGGTTGGTCAGACGTGCTGGGACTGGAGACTGTCTTGGTGTGAGCTGGATCTTCCAGCCTGAGGATTTGTGCTGACTTCTCATGATGCTAGAATTCAGTTTGATTGATGGATGCTCTGTTAATTAATTTATGGATGTTTTGTTTAGGTCAGAGAATTGGAGAAATGGAGAAATGGCCAGTGTCAGAAAGCCCCCACAAGAGATAGCTTTCCTCTGAAGCAAGAAGTGGAGAAGGTGCTTGCTGTGCAGATCAGCCCAGGGTCCTCTCCTGCAATGCCCCATCTGCCTGTGCAGGTGTCACTCTGGCCACTCTGCATCAGCCCATGAAGACATTCCCAGAGACCCACAAAAGATGCTGATGCTCTGAACTGCCATTTGGTGAACAACACCTTTACCTTCATTTCAGGTCCAGGGTTTGTATCTTCCCACAGCATCAGTGACACTGTGGTAGGTTAAGTTGCTGCTTGCAAATGGAAATATCTCAGGCATATCACAGTTCTTGATACATGTATGCCTCCAATCAAACAGTTAGTGAATGTTGGCTGAGTGTCAGGTACTAGGAACACACGGGTAAAGTACTCCAGTCCTTCTTAGGACGTTGCCTGCTAGTGAAGAAGACGTGGAAAACAAGCTTTGGCAGTTAAGCACTGCAGTACCATAGGAAGGGCAGGGCACAGGATGAGGGAGGGGGCACTAAGAGATGAGATGATGCTTGCCAACCAAGCATTCAAGGATATTCAAAGTGTGTGCAAAGATGCTGAGGCAAGGTACCACTCGGGGCTGCTCATCAGCTGAAGGTAATGCACACTGAGGTGGGGTAGGACAGCAGCATGTTGGTGAGGTGAGAGAAGTGGTTGGAAATGCAGGCTCTCCCTCCATAAATCAGGGTTGTGGTTTTATGCTACATGGAAACCAAAACAGTTGGAGTAGCAGAGGGTATGGAGGGGCAGGATCCAATTCACACCTTTGACGTCCCCTCCACACCAGAATTGAACATCCCGTACCTGGGTCACCCACTGCCATGTTTGCACCCAGATGTAACAGCCCCTCATCCCACACCCTGCCTGATGAGTGTGTGTCTGACTAGTCTTGGATTCTTCTTCCATTTGTCTTCTTGCTGACCAGAGCACAGGGAATAACAGTTTTTCCACTTGAGACATGAAAAGGATAAAGAGTGAATCCAAGGATAAAAATGTGGGCAATGCTTCAGAACAAGTCACTGTCCCACTGTGACCAGAAACAACTTTACAACAGACAGAAGAACTCACTGCCCCCTTTGCCAGGGAGAAATCCTACACCAGTTCCCAAGTCTACTACTTCAGAGCATTCAATCTGATATCGACACATTGGATGGGAAAAGGTGTGGACATATGGAAAACAAAGTATGGCAAACTGAATGTATATCTTCCAGTCTTTCAGACAATCACTAACATGGGATGGGATTCAGGCAGGGGGCACTTAGTTCACGCTTTGGCTCATGACCCGTGATATGTCACTTATTTTCTTATTCAAATAAATCCAGTTTCCTCAGTGGGATTTCTTTCCGGTTGGTTCCTGTATCCCTCCTGCATAAACCGGCTTAGTGTTAGTTTCCTGAGAACCCCTTCTTCTGTACTCCAGTATACACTAGGCTTCCATGCCCAGTCCTAATGTGGGCATTCCCACAACAAAAGGGTTCTTAGAAATGAAGACAGGGCAGCAACAAGTCAGGTCATCCTCGGGATTCCCACCGCTGTGAAGTCCCCTGTCTCCATGGTCTCATCTTTGCCTGTTTCTCTGACATGACTCTGTACTGATTTCTCTGTCTCTCACTTGGAGTTCAGCCTTTGCTCTTCCCTCCTGGATTACTTTTTCTATCTCTACTAGTGAGAAATTGGACTTTTGTCATCTAGGGTGCACATGCTTGTGTGCTCAGCCCTAGTATAGCTAGACCGCTTTGGGAACTGATGACATAGGCTTTTTTATCTTGGTGAAAATGGCATTTGTAAGAGAGAGTTAAGGGTTCCTATGACAATTCTGATGTCTTTAAGCTCCAAGTTAATAAAGTGTTCCTGCTCCCCATCTTCCCTCTCCTTCTCTCCCTACTCCTCCTCTCTTCTCTCTTCTATTTTCCCCTTCTCCCCTTTCTCTTCTATCACCGCTTCCTCCTTCTCTCTCTTCCTCTTTCTCTTCCTGTCTTCTAGCTCATCTCCCTCTTCTCTTTCCTCTTCCCCCTTTTCTCTCCATTTCTCTTCTTTCTCCTTTTTTACCCCCTCCTGCTCTTTTTCTTCCTCTCCCTCCTCCCCTCTTTTCATCCTTCTCCTGTTCCTCCTCTCTCTTCTCCTCTTCCTCCCATCCTGCCTTGGAAATGTATGAATCTTACAGATCCTTATATCCTACCCTCCAGCACTCCTCTATCTTGGTGGTAAGACCCTCCAATGGGCTTTCAAAATGATCTCCAGGATGAGGAATCATTGCTTCACAAATCAGAAGCCATTAGAGAGTTTAAAGCATTCCTTCCATAACTTCCACTGCTTTACTAGTTGGTAAGAACACAACTTTTTCTGCAGTTTAAAACAAAGTAGAGGGAATCCTTTGGGGTATAAGAATGGTAGTCTCCAGTTCTATTTCTGTTTTTTTTTTTGTCTGTGTTTTTCTGTTTTCCTGTGTGACATCTGAAAAAAATAACTTGGTCATCCTTTGTTGACTTTTTTGTTGGCGCCATTTTTTTAAAGTCTTTCTTACAGGACTGCTCGATGATCTTAGAGAACTGTTTGAATTGGAGGAGCTGTCATCCCTGAGTTATGCCTGCTGATGGGTTTTCTCTTGAGGGAAACCACAGCTGTGTTGTTAGTTGCATCCTGGCATGGTCATGACCCTCACCAATTGACCTGACCAATATGCAGGACATTGGCCTGCCAGAAGGAAGATAAAACAACAGATGCACAGAAAAAGAAAAAGAAAAAGAAAAAGAAAAAGAGAAACATCACAAATACTAGCCTACAAAAACACGAGATGAGGAAAACAGTGGTCCGGCTCAGTTCCAAGCAGCTTTTAGTCATCTGTTATGCTCTGAATCTCCTGGATACAAACTACAGCCACCCTGCCTGGTGCTTCTCCTCACCATAACAAACCACCTCCTCCAAAGGAGGGAGGCTGCATTTTGGCTCCTGATCTCTTTTTGTCTTTGTGTTTTTTGTGAGAGTGTGTTCACATATATGTGTGGTGTATTCGCCTGTTTGTGTCACAGTGTGTGTGTGTGTGCACACACATGCACGCACATGTCTATGGTGTGAGTGTGTGTGCATGCATATGTCCAGGGTGTATACACATGTGCATGATGTCCATGATATGTGTATATGTGTGTGTATGTGTACATGTCCATGGAGTGTATGTGTGCACATGTGCATGGTGTGTGGGCATATGCTCATGGTGTGTGTGCATGTGAACTTGGTGTGTGTATGTGTACATGTGCATGGTGTGTATTAATACATGTACATGAGGTATGTGTGTGTGTATGTGTGTTTGTGTGTGAGTGTATGTGTGTGTGTGTGTGTGTGTGTGTGTGTGTGTGTGTGTGTGTGTGTATGCATAGACCAGAGGTCAACACTGGGTATCTTCTATCTTGTTCAGCTTTATTTTATTACTTTGATTTTTTTAAAATTAAAACCCTCCATACCCTTCCATATACTCTTGCTTGCTATCTCTCTCTTATTTTCATGACCTCTTTTTATTTCATTATTGTGAGACTCTCTGTGTGTATATGTGTGCATGTATGCGTGTGTGTGTGTGAGTGTGCATCCTGCTCAGTCTGTCTAGCATTACTCATATCTATATGACTCCTGGTCCAACAACTTGGTATTGGATAACCAATGACTGGTTTGGGGCTCTTCCCTGGGGAAGAAACATTCCTCCCACTTTCTTACTTTAAGCATTCCTTAGCTGCCTGTAGTTCTTTGTCTAGGCTGGAGTCCAGTGTGAAACCTTCCCTTCCATATTAGTGTGTTCACTACTGACATCACCTTATTTTTTGAAATGTAGTCTCTCACTGATCCTGGAGCTCATTGATTTGGTTATGCTGGCTCACCAAGGAGCTCCCATGATCCACCTGTTTTGCACCACCCGCCTTCCACCTGCACCAGACTCCAACACTGGGGTTACAGATACATGGCACCACGCTGCCTTTTGCATAAGTACCAGGGATCTAAGAACTCAAGTCTTCCTGCCTGCAGAGCAGACACTTTACGTACTGAATCATCTCCCCATTGCACCCTGTGGTCTTTGATTCTTGTTTCTGGGCTATAGTGAAGTGGACAGCATGGGCTGGAGCAGAGATATTTCACTCACTCAAGGTAGCTGGGGAGAAGAGGTGGCAGATGAGAGGTGGAAGGGAGAAGTACAAGCCACACCATGGCAGCTCACACCCCTAATGGCCCACTCCCCACTCCCTAATAGCCCATTCATCTATGGTCTCATGAATAGATTTTTTTTTTCATTGACAAAACCAACACCTTCATGATCCAGTCATCTCCAATGGAGCCACCATTTAGGCACTATCACCATAAGAACTTTTGAGGTGGCATTCCACACCCAGCTGCTACTAAATATATTATGCTCAGTGACCTTTAACTTAATAGCTCTGGGCTTTTCTGATTGGGTAGAAGATAATGAGAAATTTCAGTGTTGAACTTCACCTATCCCGGTTCAGCCAGGATTCATCCAGGTGAGTGGTGAAATCACAACGGGATCCAGGGCAGAGGGTCCCTCAGCTGTGGCTTTGTAGGAACTGGCGGTTCCATAGTCTCATGGATATACATGGGACAGGATATTAGCAGCATCTTCCCAAGTCCTGGTCTTCTATGAGAGGCCAGCAGCACACAGCTCTAGATATCTCAGCCCCTGGCTGAGAAGACTGCTCTAGTGAGGACAAGCATTTTTGTTCCTTCTAATAACTAATGAGGTCTCATATGCTGGTTTTATTACTTTAAAAATCATCATGAACCTTTCAAAAATCCCCCCCACTCATAGTGCCAACTGATCACATAGTGGCTGGCTGCTGAAGTGAGATCAAGAGGTACATCTAGAGAATTGCACGGAACTTTTCAAATGCTGTCAGGATGAGCAAGGGGAATTGTCTCTTCTCACTATGGAAGACAGTAGCCTGGCATGAAATGTTTGTGTCAGCCATCTAATGCTTATTGCAAGATGGGAAATACTCAGAGGAGTTACATTCTTGCTCACTTCCGGTTTTCATTTTCTTTTTTTAGATTTAGGTCAAGTTCCATGTTCTTTTGAGGCTTATCTGTGTCATCTGCACAATGCTAACAGAATCAATAAAATCACATTTAGTTTTAAGTGAGCGAACATTCAAATCTACAATTTCAGTTTAAGTGAAACTGAAATTGGTTCACATAATATAAAACAAAGGGTCGTGCCTTTGGGCATAACTGGGTTCAGGAGTTAAATGGTGTAACAAAAATTTAATTTTTCTCTGTCTTTCAGTTTTCATATTGCATGGAGCCTGATAATGTCAGGCTCAATGATGGAGGCCCTCCTTCAGAATGGAGTATGCTCAGCAATTCCGAAGTACACAAGATCATCTTCAGATAATGGGAATACATCTGTCTCCCAGCAGCAGGTGCCCTTTGTT